TTTGGCACCAATGACAGTCGAATTTTGTGTGTTGAAGGCAATATCAAACTTTTTTGGCTGTTTGTTGATAACAACAAATGCTTTTACTTACTTTTATTTAATATTTGACCCTAAAAAATTTCGCAATAATAGATATAAGAGGAAGAAGAAGTAATAACATTGCATGTACTGTTTAAATGTTTCAAATTTCCTCTTTTTTCGAGTGCGTGACAAAAATACTCAATGTCTACCAAAGCGGAGTGAGTATACGAGAGAAACAGGATAAAAAAAATAATTTAAAATGTTCAATAGGAAAAAAAATATTGATTGCACAAATTTGTGTGTCTTTTATTGTGGCAAAAAAAGTTTTTCGAGATTTTTCACACTCATTTCAAATGCCATAAGCAGTTCATACTCCAAACAAAGTTAAAAATGAATTGTGCTATCAAGAATTTGTGATCTACGAAACATTTTAAAATTGTTTTTACTTTACGTGTTCATGCTTTGAAAAGATTTTATTTTATTTTATTTTTTGGTTCGTTCTATTCTAAAAAAGAAACTTTTATTGTGTAACATGTCTCGAGGTGCTTTTGATAATTTGTTATTTCCTGTGCATGTTTTGATGCTTTTGAAAGTTTTTTTTTTTAAATGTCATATACAATTTTATTTAAAAAGCTCTAATATGGAGAAATGAAACTTTTTACCTTACAAGATTTTTTTAAGGAAGACAAGAAAAGTCAAAAAGTTTATTTTGAGGTTAGAAACACATATTATGCTTGGAGTTCTTGCTCTATTTTGAGAAACAAAGAACAACTAAGGCTGCTATTGATAAGTTGTACTATTAGACTTATGTTAAGCAAGTAAATCTACATCAAAAAGATTTCTAGGTTAGCAAAAAAAAGAGCAAAGATTCATTGAAACTTCAGATTTGAACCAGCTTTCAAGATTCGCTCCTCGACTTTGTTAAAAACTTAAAACAATATCAAATTAAATCATTAAGAAGAATTAACAAGAAATAAGAAATTGAGTTCAATAGAATCTTAAAATTTATGTTATTTAAATTAAAATAGATTGAAACTTATGTTTATGTAAGCTTCACAAATTCTTCCACCTCGCCTACACAAAAAAAAACTTAATTCAATTTTAAAAGCTTTCAAAGTGTTTTCTGGAAAAGTTTTACTCAATATTCCATGTAAATTGTTTTTGGGTTTGTTCCAAGGGTGCGGAACTGATAAATTACATTTTGATAATTTTTGATCATTTCATCAGTTTCACACCCTTGAATTGTTCGTATATTTTGCAAAGGATGACAATTTGTAAGGGTACAAAACTTACGAACGACCCCAATAAAAGATTATTTGCAATAAATTTCTTAAGAAAAAAAAACAAGCTAGCAATTTAATTTCAAGGTTGAAAATTCAATTAATCTGTGAACAGTCTCTATAGCTCCTAATGCTGTAAGTCGAGAGAGGACTTTCCAAAGAAACATGTATTAAGCATCTCAAAACGAGCACTTCAGCTTCTTCTCAATGACATTTCAATGCCATACGAGGATCTTGAAAGATAATTAAGTTTCCTTATTTTTTTGTTCTTAATTCCACTTCTCTTCATCTTCTTGCTTCTACTAAAGCCGGAAGTTTGTACAAAAATTTCAAAAAGTTTTTTTTAGAAGTCAACTTCCAAAAAGAATTTAAATCCTTTTGATCTTTTGCCGTACTTGTCTCATGTCTTTGTGCTGTTCCTTGTAGAAAATATTCCAATTGTCATGACACAGTTTTGTATCTTTTTTTGTGTGGAGAATTTCGCTGTGAGGCAATTCCAAATAACTTTACTTGACTTGCTCTTGAACAACATTTTCTCTTCCTTTCCTGCCTTGTCATTTTCGATATTTCCATGGAATCTTTCCGTAAGCTTTAACGAGGAAATGAAAAAAATTCTTCTTGTTGATTACGACGGCAATAACATCCGTTATTATAAAATTTAATGATGTAGTTTATGTTGTATGGTTATGGTTTTGTAATAATAACATATTCATACATGCTGAATTATTATATGTAAGACATTCAAAGTTAAGTATTAGAAAATTATAGAAATTATTGTGTCTAAGTGCTTAAGGAAAATTTAAATTGATGTGAATATCTCACATACAGCGTTTCCGAATTCCGGTGTGTTGAAGCTTGTCTTGTCAGACTTAGAGATACTCTAGCTGAAGAAAGTTCTTTGAAACGATTTTAACGAATTTTAAAAAATTTGAATTTTTAACGGTTTTTGTAAGTTTGAAATTTTAACGGTTTTAAAGAATATGAATTTTCAACGGTTTTTGAAAATTTGAATTTTTAAAACATTTACTTAAAAGGAACTTTAATTTCAAATTAAACTGGCACCAATAAATTGAAACTTGTTCAAAAATAACGAATATTGTGCAACACATAATCTGAAAAATCTCATTAATTATCAACAATTTTTTGATCATCATTCATAATAATTTGATTCGATTTTTTTTGCCAAGTGATGTAGCATAAGCTGTTTACAGCATATATTCATCTAAAACCATTTGTTACACAAGATTAGACATAAATATGGGTATTGTTGATTCATCTGATTTTTTAAGAGCTACGAGCAGCGTAATTTGATTGTAATTGTTATTTTTAATGTTTTCGCATGCAAAGTTAAAATAAATGAGTTTTTTTGGAAGGCTGGCTTAAATTACGATGAATGCAAAGCTTTAGGTTTAATAAACTAAAATATTCATTAATTACGAGTGTTTACAACTTAACGGTTTTTCAAATTTTGTGGCTTTAAAAATTTAAAAAACTGTTTAACGGATATTTTGTCCATCAAGTTTATTCACTAAAGTAAAGTGACCTATTAAATATATATAGATTGATTTTCCCTAGTATAAACCAATAAAGGAGATGGAAAATTTTAAATTATTTCCATCCACATCCCAGAGAAATGAACATTCACAACTCCACGATACAAAGACGTTCCTTTGCTATTTTCATAAAAGATCTCTTGACATGCCAAATGAAAATTTTATTCATCAGATTCTCTTTTGTGTATTGTCATGATGATATAAAGTAAGTTCTATAAGGAAAAATGTCAATCGGGTAGATGAAGCGAAAAAGAAAATAAAAGATTTGATTCACAAAGTTTATTGCATAAAGGAAAGGTCGAGAGGAGTAGTTCAAGACAGAAATTATTGTCATTCAATCTTTTTTTGCAATAATGAAAAAGTTAAATAAACAAAATAAATACAATAAAAATTTCATCTGATATATTTTTTTAAAATATAAATTGTCTTCTTCTGCTGAGTTCTTAGATGAATGTGCTTGAGAGCTACAACTTGAGAGAGCACTGCTAAAGTTCTTTAATATGTTCAAGTTGGGTAAAATTCAAATGTTAACGGCTTTGTAAAATTCAAATCTTAGCGCATTTGTAAAATTCAAATTTTAACGGCTTTGTAAAATCAAATCTTTACAGTTTTGTTAAATTCAAATTTTAACGGTTCTGTAAAATTCAAATTTTACCAGTTTTGTAGAGTTTAAATTTTATTGCATTTGTAAAATTCAAATTTTAACGGCTTTGTAAAATTCAAATCTTACGAGTTTTGTAAAATTCAAATTTTTTTCTATCTGCTTTGATACAATTACCAGTGTTCAATACTATGTCAAGTAAGTTATGTCATAAATATTAAGTTTATCATTCAGCTTGTTCCTAAACAAAGGACAAAACTCACTGAATTTACTGAAAAGGAAAAAAAAGAAATGAGAATTCAAAAAAAAAGAGCACGAACACAAAACCTGTAACCCAGGAAAGCAAAATAAAATAAATAAATTATAGATTTTTTCACTCGCTTCCCTTACTTTCCTACTTTAATTTATTTATGTCGCTACAGCATTGAATTGATTATAGAAAATTTAAGTAGAAAAATGTTGCCGTATTGTTGGTAAAGCTACATCTATCTACTCGTTCTTCCTTCCTCTCTCTCTTGCTTTTTTTTTATTCTATTCACAACAAATTTATGAGATGCCGGCGCTTTATGGAAAAATTGCAAAATTTAACATTTCCTGTTAAAAGAGGCGAAGTAAGTTACAATATCTGGTAATAAGGTAATGGGAATGGAAAATCACAACATAAATTGATTCAGTTTCGTACTGTTGCTGAAAAATGAAAAGAATACTAAGCGAAGGGGGGTAAATGATAATCCAACTTCTGAATTTATATCTATTGTACATAACAGTTACTTTTCCTTTTTTTATTTTCTCATTTTCACGCAGATTAAAAATTTTTTTATTCCATTCTTTTTTTGTTCGTCGAACGAATCAGAAATATAAACTAGCTGCTTCTTTTTACAACATTTCACATTTTTATAATTCTTTTATAATATTTTTTTAACCTTTTATTTTTACTCGTGAGAAAATCTCATCTGAATGAAAATATCTCTTATTTAATTTAATTTAATTTAAATTACATTTACTTCTATCATTTCATTAAAATTGTGCAGTAAAGTTTCATTTAGTTCAACATTTATGCTTTTGAAATGTACCTCTGACTGGAAATTGAGTTGAAAACTAAAGCATGTCATTTGTAATTCTTCAGAACTCAAGAAAAAGTTTCATGTTTTGTTGAAATGAAATATGAAATTTCGCTCGTTTGCTTTTCCGTTTCCTTTTATGGAGACATTTTAAAAAAAGCATTTTCTAAATGCTGAAGAACTTTGAGAAATGGAATGTTGAAGATTGAGTTTGCATGAAAATATTTTAAGTAAAGAAAATAATTTAATTTTTTTTCTAAACGCACGAGATGTGAAAAACAATTATGGAACACACCTTAGATGCAAAGTTTTTTTCTGAACGCACTATTATCGTGAAATTTATTTTTCTGAATGTATATTTTTTTTAATAATTTCATTTATGATGCAAAACTTTTCCAAACACATTCGTGATGCAAAAAAAAAATTTCTAAACGCACATTGATCGAAAAATTTACTGAATGATCATTGAAGAAAAACTTTTTTATGGAACCTCTTACTTTTATTTATATTCATCTTGAAGTTTCAATTGTTGAAACAGTAAATAAGAAAATGCAATAAATTAAAGTTTTCTTCAGTTTTGTTTCCCAAACCAAGATAAACATTTCAAAACGCAATAAATGTAGAATCAATAATAAAAAATTACTGCAATAAATATCATTATTTGTTCCTTATCAAACAGCTACAAACTTGAAATTTACAAACGAAACAAGTTTCGAGATGGCTAAAAGTAAAATAATGTTCATAACATGGTGTTTAAGCCAACAACAACTTCCACAACTCCGATGCTCATGATACATTGCAGCGACGTCACCTATTTATTAATAAGGAAGAGAAAAAAAGGAAACAAATGAGTGAGTAAATAAAAGTTGTGGCTAAAGTTTACCATTTTTTTCATGAAAAATTACTTTTAATTAATAAAGAAAATTACACGAAACAGACTTTTCTTAATTTCATTTATGATTGTTATCATCAATTAATTACATTTTCCATCCATGTGAAAGTTTCTGTTTCATCTTTCGACTTTGAGGCAAAAGACTTTTGCGCCTTTTGTACTCGGAAATAATGAATATAATTAAAACAGAGAAACATTAAAGCCACGAGTCAAATATTTGCTTTGTGTTATAGATTCATATTGACAGTGTAGTACGACATGCTTTTGTGAATATTCTTGTAAATTTAAGATTGATTAATCAGTTGGAAGCTAAGCAGAAGTAAACTAACTTGGTTCAATCAAATGATTGAAATTGTTTTGTCTCCTTCTACTTTAAAGGTTTATTTTTTCTGAACACACTTTTGATGCAAATTTTCTGAACGCACTATTTACGCAAATTTTCTGAACACACTTTTGATGCAAATTTTCTGAACACGCTTTTGATGCAAAAAAATTTTCTGAGCGCACTTTTAATGCAAAAAATTTGTTGAACATACTCTTGAAAAAATAATTTTATGATCACAATTTGCCAACCAAGACAATATTTTGATTTTCATCCATAATACCAAAACATTAGCGTCGAAGGTTTACTAGACTTCTTTACATTTCTTTTTCCAAACAAGACCTGTTCATCAAAAAATCATGACTCGGAATATTTACTCAAAAAAGAATCAAGCATCAACAAGAAAGAATATTTGCCTTTTATGTTAATTCTCATAAACCTATCCATTCATGAATTTCTACATGAAAAAATATCAAATAACGTAAATTGCATAATTTGTTGATTTTTATATCATATTCAGGTTTGCTCAAAATCTCAAGACATTGTTGCTTAATTCATAAATTCTACAGTCAACACTAAAAATTTAAAAGTTTTATTAATGCAAATTAGATGCAAAAGTTGAAGCTAAAAATGTTTATTTCCTTTTATGTACACACTTAATGAGAAGAAAATTCTTTATGCATAAAGCTTCAAACTTTCAGAAAATGCTTTGAGTTGCAGTTTAAATTAGAAAATATTTATTTCTGCATATTTCTTTGTTTGAAACATTCATTATTCTTTTGTTTTGTTTTGTGTGTTAAAAAGGAGAAGAAAAAAATCATAATTATTATTATCATTAAAAACGTTTTTATACTCTCTGACATCTTATGTATATAGACAACATAAATATAAAGAAGTATCTTATGAATTCAGATCAGGAAAAATGTATAAAATGAGAAAACAAACGAGCTCTGAAAATACGTAAGAAGATATTTTAGGGCTAGAAGCTTTTGGTGTCAAGGCTTCAAAAAGTTATTAAATTTTGTTTTAGTAGTGCTTTGCAAGCTTGTTTTTCACTTTGTAAAATCATGAAATTTACAATGGTTTTTAAAATTTCAAAAATACTTTTACTCCCCTTAGAGAGTTTCATTTGAAATATTCATAGTTTTATACCCCGATTCGTTCAAATTCATCTTTTTGTAGACTTTAAAAATAGTTTTCTCAAACTTTAGCAAATATTTATAAGTTTCTCCCCCTTAAACATCAGTTAAGTACAATTTCAAGTTCTTCTTAGCGTAATATGAGCTTTTTATTTATTTTTGTAGGTGAGCAAGAATCATTCATAAAGAATTATTCACGAAAAACGAATAAATTATCCAAACTGAATATGAGAGCAAGAAAAAATATCATTTCTGACTATGAGAAGCGTGAATATGATGAAAAATTATACGCCCACGCAGCACAATCTCGATTATAGTAAAAGTCTGCATTTATATAGCCCCATGAGAATTTATAAGCACATTCAACTTCAAGCAGCATGCGAATTCGTGAAAAAAATATAAGATAGATGCATGGGCTCCCCCATTTCATATTTAATGTCAACACAAGAAACTTTTTTTATGAAAGATTTTAATAATTCATACTTTTCACGTTTCCTTTTTTTTTGAGGAAAATCCAACAAGAAATTTAAGGTGAATGTGAACCCTAAACGTTCATTTTGTAAGAGATTGCAGATAAAAATGCTTTTATCAATTAAGCTGTAAAAGTTAATGCTTTGCGGTAATTTTCTTAACAAAATGAGCTTATTGTCTTCTTTTGAACTTTTGGGAAATTGAAGGAATTTATTAAAATTCATTATCCTAGGTTGCAGACTTTCTTGTGGAATTCTCAAGATGCAAAAGCATTATTGAATGTTTTTATCAATTAACTACTTAAATGAGCCGCTCTTTATTAGTATAGCTTACCAAATTTAAAGAAATGCGCTCAATTCTAAGCAATTCTCAGCTAAAGCTCCAAAACCTATCATAACAATTTTTAATAACACAAACAAAGAGATGAATCGTCAATGAGGGAATGAACACAAATTTCCCAATATTCAAAAACATGAAAATTCATAACATATATGTATATCCATCCACACACTTGTCAGCGTTAATAAGAAGAAGGAAATGAGAAAGTTACAAACCTAAAAAGGAAAGAATTTGTGGTTGTTTCCTTGAGTAAAAAATAAAGAGATATGCTGAAAATAATTTCACGTATTTGAGTAAATAGCTGGCGGGATGAAATTTTTTCCTTGTTTTCTGTATACATACTCCTAAGTGTATACAAACACACATGTGATGTATCTTCCACCATTCTTGGTTCTTTAGAAATATATTTGCAGTGCATGCATAATGTTTGTGTAAAATTGAAAGTGTGAGCACTCGAGTATCTCCGTCTCTTAAGATGTTATTTATTTAATTTTCCTTTGATTTTTCTCACGAGTAAACATCCCGTGTTCATGCACTGCAAAACTTTTCTGTGGATAAAAATTCTATAAATCCGCTTAATGAAGAAATTCTTCTTATTCTCATGGGAGCTTTATGTTTTTTGTCTATTAAGCTTATGAAGTGAACAATGGAACTTGAAGTTTTAATTGAAATTTTTTTAAGCTGTTGACGCAAAATTATTGATGAGATTTGTGGAAAACGAATGACAAATTCCTAAAATTTGATATCCTATTGGCTGACTAAACAGCATGGATAGGTCCACAGCTTCCGTTTATTTCAGTTTTTAAAGATTCATATTTTTCATGACTTTATTTTCAAGTTTTCATGCCCTGAAGAAATTTTGATAAACTTTACCTAATCAATATTCTGTTGAGCGAACTCAATCAAAGTTAAGCAAGATTTTTCAAGATTTTGTACATTCCAAAAAAAATTGTTTTTCATGTTACAGTAAAAGTTTGTTCTGCAAACTTTCAGACAGAACATGACATTAAGTTTCTATGCCATTTATAAACTGGAAAAAAATAAAGGAACAAAAAATGTATTTTTCATTAACAAAATACCTTTGAAAATGTGTACGACGACTGATGCTGGTTGAGAATTGCTTGGAACGCAAGTATAATTTCCAGAATGATCTTTCGTAGTGTGTAATATGGTAAGCTCTGAATAATGAAAGTCTGTGAAAATTGAATTTAAAATAAAAAGAGAAACGAGAAGAAGAGGAATGAATGATTTTTTTTTATTTTCGCACTTACTTCTTTTTAAGGTTAAAATTGCCATTTCTCTTGGTTGTTTGGCATGATTATAAAAAATACATAAGAAGGAAAAATTACCTGCTTCTGATGAAACATTTATCCCTCTGTCGAGATCGTAATTTATCATTCTATTATCGTGATACCAAAATATGTACGCTGTTGCTTCCGTACTTTGTAAAACTTTACAAATGAGCTTTAGTGTTGAGCCTGGTGTGAGATATTTCAGTGATGGACCTACAATTTCTGCTCTCGCTTCTGTAAAGATGAATTGTACATACTTTTTATTGACAGAAATTACACGAGTAGGAAGTTTAAAGCAAGGAAAAAAATATGTTTACAAGCTTACAGCAAGAATAATTTTACAAAGCGTAAAATTTATATTCAAATGGAAAAATTATAGAAAAAAAGTTTTAGTTTATGTTTTTATCTTCGGTAAACAAAAACCAAGGGATGAATTGCTGAAAATTGACTTTGACACACGCTTACAATTTCTACTTTAGATGGGCGTGAGTAATTTATGTCTAATAATTAAGTAAAAGTTAAATTTGTTTGCTTTTTCAATTAGAAACTTAAAGCAAGACAAAGAAGTGTTAACAAATCAAAGGGGTGTGAAACTAGTTGAATTTTATAGAAAAGTTCAAATTTTATGTTTCCGTTAAAAAGTTCTGAATAAAGACCAAAAAAAGAATATTTTACAGACATAAAATGTAAAAGCATTGCTGCTAAATTTAGTATAAAATTCATTCATCAAAACATCCTTTCTTGAGGGTTTAAAAGGAAGTTTCTGTGAAATCCTGATAAAATATACAAAATTCAATTCAAAACCACCAATTGTTCTCAAGTTCCGCAGACATCTCACCCACATCCGTATACACTTTTTACGAAAACTAAAACCTTTTCTATAGAAATGTTTCAGTTCTAATTTTTGCACACTTGAGTCCATTCAGATACCACACATGTGTGTGGGCAATAATTGAATAAACAGGCAAGTTTCACACAATTCACAAGAGCATTGAAGAATGAACAATAAAATAAAAACCTTCAGGCTCCTGAATATAAAAAAAAAGTTTTTATTTTCATTTCAATTTTCTGAAACCTTTCAGCCCCCATCCAAAAAGTTTTTTATTTGATACACACAAAAAAATTCCTTTCCTTGTCATGAAAATTTGTTCTTTAATAATTTACACAATATTGTTATGAAGTTATATAAAAATTACGGAGAAAAGTTGTAAGATTTCTTGGTATTTATGTTTTTTAAGGTGGTGAGGATGGAGAAGAAGACAGAAAGTTCACTAAATTAATTTTCCATCCTTGCCTCAAAAAAAAAAAAAAATCAGGGTGACTTCATAAAAATAACAAAAGAGCAACTTTGATGATCTTTTTGCGGATTCAATTTTCCGCAATGACTTTATTTTGAATTTCACCTTGCTTGTGCTTACAATTGGAAAAAAGAATATTGTTGACTCTAAAGTAATTCGATTATTTTTTTATCTCAAAGAATTTCAATAAAGTAACTTGGTTACAATGAATGCTTTTTATCAGTCTATGAAATTTTATATTGCTTGAAAAATGCAGAAGAATGAGGTTCAATGGGAAAGTTCATTCGAGTGTCGAGAGTTCAAGCTTTTCATCTCAAATTCCTTACAAATTTCAAAATGATTCATGAGTGAGCACCAGTGCATGACGCAAAAGTTTCAAAGCAATTATTCAAAATAGTATTAAGCTACTGCATGGGAAAGTTTCATATCCAATTTATTTAAATCTCATTTCAGTTTTGTGCTCATTGATGAGAACATCTCAAAGTTATGTGCGAAACATCTATTACAGTAAATGATCCTGCAATAATCATTTAAATAAGACGAAGTTCGTACTTCCATTTGTGTATAGTCGAAATTGACCTTTGGAATGAGTCACATACCTTTGAAATGGCTTGGGGATTTTGAGGACTGGGAGTTTTATTCAAAAATGTCGATATAGATCAATTTTGCAGCTGCATGCTACTTGTTAAAATTTTGAGAATATAAGTTTCATACCACTTTAAAGCAAGGTTTTTAACTTCAACTTCGTACTTGCTTACCAAAGTTTATACAAAAACCTCAACAATTTCTTAAGCAGCCCCAATCAAACCAAGATAAATAATAACCAGCTTATTCCATAATTGTGTACAAACGTGTCCTCGACTCCAAACTTCTCCTTATTTTCTCAGATTGTCTTACATGATAAAAGTCGTTTTAATAATACTATCGCATATAAAGCATTACGAGCAGGTCGCTCAAGTTCAAATATTTGATTTACATTCAAGTCAATTTGTTTTAACGTTATGTGCTGGAGGATGCTTTGAGTATGTCTGAAGTGCCAACTTGTTTGTTCGTGATTTGAAGATATAATGTTTTTACTGTAGTTAAGTTACAATTTTCCATGAACTGAGAATTGAAAACAAATTAATGACATCTTTCAATCTTGTGTAGCAGTTGTAATAATGGTAATGACTCGATATTCCCTCGTTTCATTTGTAATTTTGTATTTTAATTGACGCTGTTTTGATTGTATTGCTTTAGCATAATAATGAGCTGTTGAGATTTCTCAGAAATTTCTAATTGTGAAATGATCCCTGCCCACAATATGCAGTACAACTAATTAAAATAATCTCTTCCTACTTAATAGGTCTAATGCTTGGTAACTGTTGCCAAAATTAGAATTTTCATTCATAAAATTTGTTTTGATGTTGGTAAGTTTAGCATTTTTAAGTGGCAATGGATAAATTTACATTCTTGGAAGGTTATATACTGATTTGTTGAAACTTTTGCACAGCAACTCAGCTTGTTCTGACAGATTTGCTCACATAAGCTTATCAGACATATTTTGACTAAAATGGACTTTATTGACATTAAGGAACTGTAGGTCTGTTGGAACTGAAATAATGACTCCAAGAAGATCAGTTCTACATCCTTGAAGACACCCTCAGCTCATCCCTACTTCCCCAAAGTATCAAATTGTGCATAAATTTAAAATAGAGAATGAATATGCAAAACAATCTCTCTTAGAATCATTATAATTTTCATGACACGCTGTAAATTAGACAGGTTGAATCACGAATGAAATTCTGTGCTTTTCAGCTAATTGTTTATTACGTCCGACCACTTCGTGACAATTGTTTTCAATTTAATTTTTTTTTTTTCATTTTTCAAGTTGTTCAGATACAATCAGAATATTTGAATGTGAATGTGATGATAAAGCAGTACGGCTTAAGGTATTAATCGTGTTATGAATAATAAAATGGAATTTCTTATCTTTTTATCATTTCGACAATGGTAAAGAAAATGTTTTTAAGCCCCTCATTTTATCGTGAATTATGATGGGGATTCCTTTCAATAAATTTCAAATTAATCATTTTCAATTCAACTGTGAATTTTTTTCTTATTTTTAATTCATTGAAGACAGTGAGTATAATATTTTAGGCTGTAATTGCCTAGAATGGTTGGGCGGAGATTCTTTTATTTTTCTTACATACATTTCTATTATCATGGTCTGTCTTTTGTTCTCGTTGACGATGGAGTAAGGAATAAGCAAAAATACATGAATCAAATATAATTTATGATAGAGATTTAAATCATAAAGGCATGCTTTAATTCTACGCAATTGGGCAATCAATTTTGATTATTCTGTCGCTAATATTTTTAATACGTTTTTTTCCAGTCTTTTCATTCATTCCGCTCTTTTTACAATTTTTCATTCGCTCAATTTCTATCTGAATGAATTTAAGCTGATTCATTGCGATATTTTTTTTTGTATTATCATTGAATATCGCATTGAATAATTCATTTTACAATCATTTGTGGATGACACACTTTATTCTGGTGCTCATTCCTGGAAATAATAGCAACATTGTTTGAAGTTTGTCCATGTCTGTTTTTGATTGAATTTCACACGTTTTATAAAGTGGCAGTAAATAAACACATTGCGAGGCATGGAACAAGCAATTAACCAGAAAAATTTTTAATTGTTGTTTACCACGAATTCAGAAAGTTTTGAAATAATTTTAATTAAGCGTTTGGAAGCAGTTGTAATGATAAATTAAAAACAATCCAGAACTTTTTTTTTTGTTGAATTAATTTTATTAAATTTTCAGCATTTTAACATCACATAAAACTGTTTTGAAGCAGTACTATGTTAATCAATGCTCTTTAGTTTATTAGCTACGATATTACTATGGATATGATTGATATTTTGTATGTGATTTATAACATTTACAATAAATTGATGATTGAAGTTGAAAATCACTTTTGAAACTAGGAAATTTGAAACTAAGCAACAAAATGATCAAACCCGGATAGCACAAGTCGGTTAATGCCAATGTTAGCAAAGAGAACAGAGTCCGTTACAAACAAAAAAAATTCAAAATTTTCGCGCGGTATTTTTTTAAAATTTCAAAATAAGAAAGTCTGTTACTTTTTATTTTTTTTTAAACTAGGTGTTTTTTAAAGCATAAACATTTAAGGAATGCAATTTCATCACAGTGATTATCTTAATCATAAAAACTAGTAAGAATGTTCACTAAAATTACAAATTACTCGAAAAATAATAATTCACAACGAATTTTTTTAAAAATAAGAACTTCGAAGATTCGATTTTCGAAAAATAAGAACCTCGAAAATTCGAAGTTCGAATAATAAGAACTCAAAAATTTCTGTTTGCTAGCATTGGGGTTAATGGATCAGAAATCTTGCACCATACCAGATTCATGCCGGCTTTGCACCAGATTTCTGATCGATTAACCGACTTGTGCCATTCCGGAAAGCTTTTCGAATTCTATTCAACAACATTAAAATTCAATAAGCTGTAAATTTTACCAAAAGCGTTTCTATAAATCATAAATAATAATAATAACTTGTAAATCAGTCATATTCCAATTAATTAATGCGGAAATTGATTTGAACACATCGCTAATTATTGCCAAATATTTTTCATGCAAGTTTATTCAATTTATTTTCATTTAAAATCGAAATTGTAGTTTTTTTATGTCATGGCGTGTGTCGTCATGTAAGGAGGTCAAATGACATAATAAAAAGACGAGGAAACATTTCTGATTGCAATTTAGGATAAGAGAACGATCGTACATAAAAAAAAAATATTTTATATGTTATATCAAGGACAATAATGACAATAATAACAAAAAACGGCAGTAAAATGTCAAAAAAGAAAGAGGAATTGCCGATAGCTCAAAAGGCAATATTTCAATATAACAACTCGCATTGCTTCCTCCATCGTCCCATTCACTCTATGTCTTAGTTTTTCACGCATAATTTTTTTTTACTAAAATTCCTCTACGAACAAATTTTATGGGGCCCTTTTCCTCACTTCCTTTTTTATTGCGATCGTCATAAATTTTGAATTTGCGATTCGATGTTTTTCCTGTGAAAATATTGAATCTGTCATTGAGCACATTTAACATGTTTTGCGATAAGAGAAAAAAGAAGAAAGGAGGAAAAATATGTATGTGATACCATAAAGATGATGATGCCGTTCCGTAAAGTATTTTGAATAAAGGATCTGAGCAGCAAAATCAATGTGAAAGTTTTCAACACATCTTTTCTCACATGAAAGAAACAGAAATCTCGATAAAAATAAATTAGGTTTAAGGTTTGAAACAGTTTGAAATGTTTATAGCTGAATAGAACTGCTTATAAACTTGATATTTAGTCTATATGTTTCGATTGACTTAGTTTGGTATTAGTTTTCATTTTCTTGACTTGATGTGTTGATAAGAACATTTGAATAGTTCGTACTTTATTAAGAAAAACACTTGAATGTGCCGAAATAAAGTTGGATTTGGGTGATTCAAGTTATCTTGATAATTTTTTGTTCATAATTATTGATCATTTTAAGGATAGTTTTCACCATACTATGGAAATCTAAGTGTCGGAGGATACAAAAAATGTTGAAAGAAAGTCGATATTTTATAAAATTGAATTTATTGATTGAATTTCCATTCAAAATTTAACGGATTTTAAACATTTAAATTCATATTTAACGGTAATTTTCGACACTTCCTTAGTATGGTTTTCACTTTAATAACAAAAAAAAAATAAAATCATAAAATCAACCCTTTTTAAGATTGCAGATTAATTATTTAACTTAATTGAGGAAATGAGCAATTTAATAAATAAAAAAAAAAATACTTATTAAATTAATTTTCTGCGAATTGTGTGATTTTTATTTTATTATTTGCTGCCAAAGCTATCAAGCCACTTGAGATAATCAGTTTATTACATGGCAATAATATCAAGTCCAAGGTTTGCAGTCCAAAAAAGTTTATATAACGAGAATGTAAATCCCCAAAATTAAGCCATATTCAATAATATTGTTTTATCTTTTTGACAAAGACTCAGCTCGAAATAGATTGAATGAAATTTTTTCAATAAATATTGAAAATGTTATTTATGAAGGATAAAATGATTTTTTATTATTAAATTGATGCTGCTTGCTCTCTGACTGAAAATGATATTCAATATTCTCAGATCGTATGCATATTTATTAAGGTGAATAAACAAAATATTTGCATATATTGCATTGTACTCTGTGCCTTATATTACGGAATGAGAAACATTTTCCCATAAATATGCAGATCCGATAGTCTAATTCAAAAAGGGGATAATATGATGAACTAATAAGAAAAACAAATACACAAAGAGTGTGTATGATGACATGACAAGCCCATCTAAAGTGTGTATTTTATGGTAAATATTGAAGATTCATAGACACGTATAAAGTATGAGTAGCATGTGTGTACATGTACATCAAATAAAATCAAAATATTTGTACAAGATATAGCATCATGGCTAATAGATATATCATAAAATGGATCTCGTTACTCACCTACAACATTCAATGTTAAAAATATTGACATGGGCGGATACTTTGTGACTTGACATTCATACTGTTGTGGAATAGATAAAAATGTAATGAAAATCATATTACAAAAAATATTAAGATGCTTATCCTCATACCTGTCCTGCATCTCTCATTTGAACATATTTTATCTGTAAAGTCCAGTCCTTTATGAGAAGCGATTAAGGATTAAAAGAAATTAAATTTTTATTGATTTTTCTCTCATCTCTTCCTACAAGCAATTTTAAAAATGAGTGGAACAAAAATTCTAATTACGGAAAATTTTTCCATTTTAGTAACACATGACCTGCATAATTTTTATATTTAATCCTTAAAGAATCTTCATTGCTAAAATTATAAATACTTTTTCAGGTGAACAAAGAAGAATTTTTCTCGTATTTTTTTAAAAAAATTTTACTCCTTTATGCCAAAAGCGAAAAGTAATTTGCATCCTTTTAATTTGGAATTTTTGGTAAAGGCAATCCTTGTGTACTCATTTATATATTCTGTTTGCCTTTTTGCTAATGTTTTTGATTAAAAAATGCTTTCTATCAATTGGCATGTAAAAAAATCATTTTCAGTGTTACTAACTTCCTTATTTATTGGTGGACATCATAATTGGATGACTGGCAAGCCTTTTTTAAAAATAATTTATTTTATAAGCTTTAAAATTCTCTAAAGACTAGGCAAAATACGGTCGAGTTTTAAAATTATTTCAATCTATTTCGGTATAATTGTAAAGCATATGAAAGGCTTCGGCGGGTATAAAAAAAGAATAAGAAGACTTTATTGATAAACTTTTTTCAAGTCATAGCCTAACAGCTTTAAGATTCTATATTCTATGAAATCATCAGAAATCATTCAACCAAAAACTTATTGAATTTAATTCATCACTAACTTTGTTAACAAGCAAAGAGCAATTGACTGACAACTTCAAAATGTAAATGAGAATCAAGTTTCATTCAATTAAAGTTAAAAGCCAATTAATAAAGTAAAATGGGAAAACTAATGGCTTTAATCTCACAGCTAATTAATGTTTTAAATTGGAGATTTAGAGCCAATAGCTGTCATTTGAGAAGATTAAATATAAATTTTTCTTGGAATTAAAACATTAACTTTGAGAACCAAGAACAAATGTTTGTGTTTAAAATTAATAATTATATTCAATTCATGCATGAAATTTGATCATACAAAAGTGTGAACAAAGCATGTTTCAGTCCTAATTAGTTGAAGTCAATTACAAAGTTACTCAATTTAACATTTGATGATGAAATTCTACCCGAGCGGTTGTGAAAGGGTGAAGACATAAAAGAAATTACTATTCATAGATTTAAACACATTCTCGGATAGATTGTTGAGGTGTGTAGGAAGTTTAATGAGTCTTAAAATATCGCTTCAAATTCGATCAGACCTTTAAAAAAGGATTAAACAAACATTGTAGGAAAATGTCAATATTTTTAACATTATTTGAAATTAATATTGTTGAACTCTATAGAAAAGTGATGCTTGAATTCTAAATCTGTGCTTTGAGGCACTAATCTTCAATTCAACCTTTATTGGAAAATATATTTTGGAAATTAGATCTTTTTGAAAATTTAATCTAGCATTTTATGTTTGAGGATATTATGTCAACGGTATTAAGCTCAAACATATAGTTGCGTACAACATGAATATGCTTAAAATCACGTGAATGTTGGATTTCATTTTGCAAACAAAAGTTTCTGATTAAATCGATTTTTTCGAGTATGATTTTCACTTTCAGTATTGAAAACTCGATTTCTGAACTGTTTAATTAATGTTTAAGACTTAATCAAAAATGATCAAAATTGATCAAAATGTAATTTATCAGTTTCGCACCCTTGATATAAATCAGATCTTCCAAAACTATAAAGTTTCTTTGTAAAAAGCGCGCCAAATTTCAATTGTTCGAAAAAATAAAGTTTAAATTCCTTTTTGTTTATCATCGCCTTACAGAACTTTTCATACGCATCTAAATTTTTTATTAGACTTCACATTCATATCGACTGATAAGGATTGATGCTTTCAGCTGACAAAGCATTCGATTACAAAACAAATTGAATGGGATTCTTATTGTTTATTTCAACAAATGTCAATAACGTTCTTGATATTGAACAATGGAAAATTTACTCATGATTATTTTGTTCTGTGTGTAAAATTGCTTTTGTTGGCATCAAAATTATTTCGGGGATTACAAAAGGAAATTTAATGGAAGGAATCATTTGGTGGAAGTTCATAAGAATAAGCAAAAAAAAAGTTGCTTACTTCTGAATTTTTTAAGTGCGTTGCACAAAACCTTTCGTCGCTGCTGTACGTTGTTAATCCAACAGTTAATAAATGATAATCATTTTTCCGAATCCATGACACCTGATAAATTGAAAGAAAAAATACATTAATTACATCAACAGCCAGTAAATATGGGGATTTTTGACAGCGATAATCTCAAAAATAATAAATTTTTCTTTATCGTCAGGAAAGAAATTGTACAGACATCAATGTACAATTTTCTTCCGTTCCGAAATCTTATCTGACAGTTAAAGTGTTTGACATTATCATTGGCTTCACATATCACAACAAGTACCTGCCAATTTTTTTTTGCTTCTTTGTTTGATTTCCGTGCAAACCATAAATTACAACCTTAATTTTATATTTATTGATGCACATTTTTCGTAAACAAGTGGTTTTTTTTTGGATGTGCATATAAGTTAAGATTCAACTCAAATTAAGGCACCGTAATTATTTCAAAATTATCGACTATGCAGCAATACACTTTAAGCAATCATATCTGCATTATAAACTCACAAAAGAACAATCATTTTAATGCAGAACTTGGTGATATGACTCAAGCATTTATGCCAAAAACTCGACATATTATAGATACAATGTAATCTCTATTCTCTATTCTTTATTTGAGATAAATGCTCAGTGACCTGAGAGGAAACTTCAATATGTTAGGATGAAAAATAATATTCATAATTACTCACCACTCCTTCTCCAATATTGTGAATTGTACAAGGCAAATGTGCAGTTGTTCCAACTTGTGCTATCACTTCTGTATGATTTTCCGTACCGAATCTCATTGGAGTCTTGAATATTTCAAAATAGTTTTCATCATTCTCATTCACTGATGCAAGATTGTTATTTTCACTAGTTTCCATAAGGAAATTGTGATTTACAATATGCTGTAGATTCATATCATTTGTATCACTAGTCTCATTGTTATTGCTACTACTATTTGATGCATCAACTTTATCACCATTTCGATTCGGTACATGAGGCAATAGTAAGTATTGATTTTTACGTATCATTTTACTATTTTTATCTCCTACGAATGGCGATAATCCTAGAATGGATAGGAAGAGAATGAAAAAAATTAGAAAAATGAAACTTCTTCTGCTTATTCTTTATTTATTTATAAATGAATGATTATGCACAAGGGAAAGACTTGATGAAAACACCTGACACTAATGTCAATTTGAAATAAATTGAGGTACGATTGAAAACTTTTTGGCACTTTCCGATGAAAAATATTTTCAAGGGTAAAATTGAGTTGATGAAAATTGATGCCTTAAATGCGGATGATTGGAAAACTTTTCAAGATTAAAAGTTTATAGCTTTATAAAACAAAAGTTTCACAGATACTTAAAGGTTTATTAAAAACTGGAAGAATGTTGAATCTTAATGATTAGACTTTAAAGCTTTGAAATTCAAAAAGAGTCACGAAGTTGAATTTTGGCAGCAAAGCTCAAAGCAAATGTCTTTTTGATATCAACCCACTCAAATAAAATAAAATGACTTGGAAACTTTTTATGTCAAAAAGGCTTCATTTATTATAGTGGGAGGAAATCAACTAAGTGAGCATAAAGTATGTAGGAAGTTATACGCAATATTACTAAGACACTTGTTGAAAATAATCAAAAATATTTTCATAATATCTCAAAATTGATTTATATGTCAAGTTGTTTATTTCACATCCGTGTCTTTAGATAATGTTATTAATAAAAATATATTTTCACGAGAAATGACACTTAAACGAATAAAACAGACACGAATAAATTATAAGAAGTACGCGGAAATTGTGAAAATATGTTGCAATAACAATAGATAATCTCCTCATGTTCGCTCACATACATATGTGAGGCAATATATTTCATTATCTGATACTTTTAAGAAGATAAATTTAGATAAGTGTGAAGGCATGAGAATAATAAGAAGTGAGAACAAGACATAAAACGAGTTTGAGATGAAATAACATTTGCGAGTTGTTTCTAAATGACGTCTATGAAGAAATTAGACCTTTTCATGCTTAATATTTGAGTATTCCATAGCTACAGGCTCTGCTTAATGGGACAAATCGGTTAATCGATCAGCAAACCGGTGTGACTCTAGAATGGTGCTGGATTCAAACCGAATCCAACATGATGCTAGAGTCATTCCGCCTTGGCACCAGATTTCTATTCGATTAACCATCTTATGCTATTCGGTTCTGCTTAATATTTGACATCACTGACAGATGAACCCTAATGCAAATTGAGTTTTGTCGCTTTCTTCTTCGTCAAGGAAAGACCGTAAAAGTGCTCCATTGAGGATCCTCTCATCGCTATGTGTCTTTAATAATAATAGACATTGAGATGAGAGTCGATGGAGGTGAAATTGGGATGAAAAGAAATAAGAAATACTTCGGAAATTGAAAAACATTCATCGGTTGCCAATAAGAAAGGAAAGAAAGAAAAGTTTTTCTTAAAAAAAGATACGATAAAATGTGACATTCAAGAAAGAAAAGAAAGAAAATCCCTTTCCATAATGTATCGAGGCAGAAAATCATCGGATGCTTGAGAAATGAATTTAATTGAAAATTAAAATCGAATAAGATGTATAATGGCATTGACGATATGGATCTATTAAACTGTTTGCCGAATAGAAATGAAATCGATTTCAAAAGATTCAAGCAGGAAAGTTCAATAAGAAAAAGTTTTTTATTCTCATCATTATCGCTGTTGTTGATGCTATTTTCTCAACTTGAACTCATTTTGAGGGAAATATTCATGCGGAAGAGAATTTTTTAAAAACTCATTTTTTGACAAAATCCGAAATTTCTTTGTTCTTATCTTTTTCTTATGACTGATTGGCTGATGAAGTTCCTTTTTTATTGATATCAAAGGAATTTTGAAGTATTTCTGTCAATTGAGTTCAGAAGAATTCATATAAACTTTCTATGGATATCCTTATGACAAAGATTCATGTCCTTTTGTTACCAAGACACATTAATCTAATTGATTTCAATTGACAATACAAAATAAGTTATATGACCTGGATTCAATAATGTAATAGCTAATCTTTACTAAAAGCTCCAATAACCTCAAAAGTTCCCTTTATTCTCTAAATGCGCTTTAATCAATCATCTCCAGATATCATCATTAATACTTCTTCCATCAACTCATAAAAAGCATACACACAAAAAAAAAGGAAAACGATCTTATGAATAAGTGAAGCGAGAAACTTGTGTGAAGAATTTTCTTGCGGTTTGAGCAAGAAGAATAAACAGAATGAGGATAGAGAAGTAAGAAAAGAATAATTAAAAGGGAAAGAAAAAAGATTCTGAATGATGGAGAAAATTTTATAATGAAAATGACTGTATTTAAACATTGAGGAGTAGTAGTAAGAGGTCAAAAAAATACGAGAAGCAAAAAAAGAATCTTAATGACGTTCGAAAGGAAAAAAGAGTGAATATTGTGGGAGTTGTTCAATAGTGATGTTCATGCTGAATTTTCTTAAAAGTTCTATCAAAAATCAGTATATAGACACTATGAGGAGGTAAGCAGGCATAGTAAAATTTTAATAATTTCGAGTGACGTCAATTGCGGATGATCCCATATCGATGCTGAGAAAATTTTCATTCTTTTAAGAGCAAAACACTTTCTGGGTCAATGAGAATCAAATGGGAATGAAAAAGGGGCACTAAAAGCAATAATGCACTGATGAGCAGAAGTGGAGAGCAAAAAGTTAATGAAGCGCTTATTTTAATTTTCGTCCATTAATCAATTTGGTTTTATTCCACACCGTTAGACGTTGACTTGTTTTTCTATTGGCATTCCAATGACACTCTTCTGTCCTCTTTTGTTATTTTTGGAAAGGCCATTTTTCATGGCTTCAACAATTTGCGTAAAATAAATAAGGCATAAAGGGGGGCGAGGAGGACATAACACCAAAAGATTATCTAATTTATCCTCCATAAATATTGTTTTTAATCCTTTTTCCATTTCCCTCAATTGCGGATACAATAAATTTTACTTCTTATTGTTTTCATGCTGTAACTTTCTTTGTTCTTGTGGATTTTTTCAGCACAAACTTTTCAAAGTGACATAAAGAAATTTTTTTTTGAAATTTTCAGCAACACGAAAAGTTTTCAACTTTTGCTACATAAAACATTGAATTCTTATACTTTATGGAATTCTTAAGAGCTTTTTTATGGCTTTACTGATTTTTATTACATGACAAATTTATTTATGAGGATTTATCAATTGTTTTGTGGTTTTAAAAATGTGAAAAATTTATATCTTAAGGAAATCAAGAATGACATACATATTAAAAATCTTTAAACCCACGTTAAATAAATTCGACTCAAATTAAAGATTCCAGGACAGACTCTTTAGACATAATTAATTTATCCAAACATAAAGATTAAACACCAAGCTTGCAAATTTAAAATTTTATAAAATGAATTTTTTTAACCTTACAAAATTTAAATTTTTTTCTAGAAACAAGCATTAACAAGCATTTTTCCACGTCATTATGACGATGAATTGAAAAACGATTACGAGGAAAATTTCGCAGATGTTTTTTAAGGAATTTACGCGAAATCTTTTGCTTTGACTCAAAATATTTTTCTTTATAACTTTTTCATAATTTCTAAAATGTGCTGAATTTCATATTTACTAAGACAACATTTTGTGCAAGCAAATATTTAAACTTGGAATTTCTTATGAAGAAAAAATTGTTTTGCTTAAGCTAGCATGAATGTTTTTAACCTCAAAACTCCTACATGCTTAAGTGAAATTAAATTCATTCTTAAAATAACAAAGCTCATTCATAAAAATCAACAAAACAATTTAAAGACAGCAAAATCATGAAAATCCATCAATAAATTTCCATTGATTTATTATCAATATCAAATCACATTGATCCGAATCTTATTAAGTGCCAAAAATTGAATGAATCCAAAAAATTCCCACACAAAAATCAAACACTCGCATGCGGTTATCAGAGGTCAGTATATCCATTGATTTTTATTCTCTTCACGCTTCACGTCATCCCTTTTTTTCTACACATATATTAATCGAAAAACTTTTATTGAAAAAGTTTAAATCATAGTATCAATAAGGATGGAAGAAATATGCGGAAGTGTATGAGGAGAAAAATGGAAATTTGAGAATTTTGTGGTTGAGAAATTTTTCTACAACCTGCTTTACGCACACTTTTTAAGGCAATGCTCAGACATGGAATAAGTTTGAGAATTTTATTTCTTTGTTATGAGACGAAGAAGCATTTCTTAAGCTGTTGAGCTTTAATGCTGATAAGGATTGGTAGCTGGGGTTTGAAGTGCTCCGGATCTCCTCAGACCAGAACAAATAGACCCTTCAAAATTTCAAAAATTCTGAAAAATCCAACAAAACTCAGCAAAAAGCTTCAAAAATCCAAAAACACTTTAAATCCATTGTTAAGCAGTCAACTCTGAATAAATACAAAAAACCTCATTTTTCGCATAGACGAATGAGCCACAAAGAGCAATAAAAAGAAAGAAATCTGTTTTCAGTGCTTATACATACTTACTTTATTCCATAAACATTGAAAATTATGGGAATTTGTTATGCAATATTCAGCTAGCATTTTATATGATACTTCACATAAAACGTTTGTGCTTTTACTTAAAGTATTAAATTGTGATGCTGGCAACAATGAAGAGAGTAGCTCAAGTACTTCAAGCTGATGCAAAGTTATGGAACTAAGTGGAAAGTTTGTAGACGTAGATTTTTTTTCAATGTCATCTGACTTTTTTTTTGGGATATTCTCGCTTCTCTATAATTTACAGATTGCAGCAACTTCAACCCCTATATTATGTAAATGGCTTGATAATGGAAGTGATAAAATCAAAGCGTGAAAAACTTTTCATTTAACTTGAAATGTTTTGGGTCAAAAAGTAGAGCATAAAGTTCAAGGATCTGGTTATCTATTTTATTTGGAAGAAATTAAGGGAGAGAGGATTACAGAAAGAATGATTGATGAGTATGATTAACTTTTTCATTTCCTTTGGATTTTTTATGCTTTATAAAACATTTCTAAATTTAGAAATTTCATTTTAAAATAGCATATAATGGGGGAAAATGCTTGAATTATTGCTGGTTCATTGCTTTAATTGACAAAGTTTTATGGAATTATTGGAGGCTTAAGCATTATACCTTATCCTCGGATGGTTCCTCCATATTAATCTGGTTTGTTGTCTAGCTGTTCTGCCATAGATCACACAAGAAGTTTGCATAGTATTGGATGCAAGGATATTTTTGAACATTTTCATCAGTTTCGAAGTCTAGATTATATCTAGTCTTTAAAAGTTTCCAGATGAAATATTTAAAAACAGCACATTTGTAATCTCAGTTTCTTTTAAACTTAAAATCTACTACAGTGTTGTCCAACCTTTTTTGAGCCACGAGATACCTTAAGGGCGAGCCATTACCAAAGTCGCACATAGCATACGCCTCGCGTTACTTTCAAAAAATGCCACGGCTCACAGTTTGGACAACACTGATCTACTAGATTAAGCCTGCATCAGAGTCAATAAAAGTCAATTCATGAAGAAGATTTCAGATTGGCCCACTTTAAAAATCAAAATGACTATAATCAAACCACAATGGCACTTGGCAAGGCAGAAATTTTAATATTTTCATCATCTGAACTGAGATTGTCTTCATTTTATTGCTGATTATTGCATATTATGCAAAATGTTGAATAAAAAGTAGCTATAAAGAAAAGCAATTGAATCTTTTTTATGCATCATTCAATATTAAATTTTTCACATCCATTATTGTGCTCCATTTACCTCAAAAGAAAAAAGCTGAGTGACAAAGGAAAAATAATATTCTGCTGAAATATTTTCAATCTGTCATTTACATTTCAGTCAATGACAAAAAAATGCTTTGTTCTCAAGATTTTTTATGATTGGAAGTCACAATAAGAATTGTATTTGGAAGTTCAGGCATAAAATGTACTGATAATTGACAGAAGATTTCATTTGAATCCAACTCCAAGGTACAGACAATTTTACTTGAATTGCTCAATTTTGGATGTGGTTTGTAGCAATTCTAAAGATAAAAATGGCTATTAAACCATAGAAAAAGTGAATTGTTTACGACTGTGGCTGAATCATTCACTCCTTACACTGCCTTACACCTTCAATTACCACAATCCTTTGTTAATATGAACATGTGGATTCATCTATCCAAACAAATGTTATTAAAAAATGAAATTAATTCAAATGAATTACACTCAACAACAAAACCATTAAATACATAATAATTATCATGTATGCAGCTCAATTATAATGATAATGGATCATAATTAAATGATTTAATACTATTGTAAAGTGGTAATTTGAAATTAAATTTATTCACTTTGTGGATTTTCAATTAAAATGGTGAATGCATGCTTTAGATCTTAACATGAATTGAAAACGTTCTGTTGTTTGATTGTGAATAAAGATAGAGCATAACTGACTTTATAATTGGTTAGGTACATATTACATGAAATTTGAAAATTTTGTGGGTTTTTGACAAAATCATTAATTTTCTACTTTTTTTCACATTTTTGATTTTTGGGGAGTCGTTCATAAATTAGGTATTGGGGCAAATGTGGGTTTCTAAACCTTTTATCCTTCATGGATCTAGGGTTTTCCCAAATAACAGGTTTCAGCAATAGGATGTTCCTATATAATAATTAATCCTCTACATGTTGCATCTCGCAGGTAAGGATTCCATAAAAGCACATCCATCATCCAGCCATTTAATCCTATACAGTAAGATTATAAATAATAAAATCATTCATGCATCCATTCATATATTTTCCTATGTAGTTCACCCAGATCATTCGTCAGTTCCTCCACAAAGAGCAAACAATCATTTTTTTGTGTGTTTTGTGATGCTTTCAGTTATAATTAAAAATGCTCTGACGAGAATTTCTTATGTCTCTGTTTTTTATGCATCATCATTCACTTGCAATTACATAACGCATGTATATGATGGAAAAAATGAACATGTCAACGTTCATGTATGAATAAAAAGGAAGTTTATAAAGAAAGTTTTGTTGTATGATGATGATGATGGTGGTTGGATCTTTCATGTATGTACAGTACATAATCATTCATTCATGCCGAAAGAATATGAAAAACGAGAGACAGAGGAAGACGATAGAATGCAGTAGAAAAAAAGAGGTTTTGACATAAAAGAATAAGCACTTGAAGAGCATAAAGGCAAGTCAGGCTGGCATTTTGTGGAAGATAAAGAATGAGCAGTAACAAAAGCACATAAAATGGGAAAGAATGCCACAAATTGTCATTTTTTTGTACTTTAAATGTGCAAAAAATTGTCCTTTTTTATACTAGACACTAAACACTTATGATTATTATAAAAAGTAGGGAGGCATGGTGTTGTTGCTTTAATTTGGTATTGTTTGCGATCAAATAGCTACGCAAACAGAAAGACAGAATGATTCTTTAATAGGCATGTATAGTGAGAAGAGACCACTTCATTTCCATAATTGCCAACATAATTTGCCTTTTTCTGTTGTTTTTACCCCCAAAAAAGCAAGAAGACAAGTCCTTAAGACAACGAAAGAGAAACGTACTTGAATGTGCTGAAGAAAGATGGCAAAAAAACTCAATTTACATTATTTTTCCATTCGTAACGCTTTATAGAAAATTCAGGCAATTTAATATTGGGTATTGTCTGAAGAAAAAGGGAAATTGTTTTGGATTTATTTTAACTGTCGAAAAATATTTTAAATTTATTTCAATTGTTTTGCTTCTAAACGCACTCAAAGTAATTGAATTTTCTTTCTTATTTAATGCTCTAAATTAAGCTAAGTAGTCAGCTCAGACGCCTTTACTGTGAAATTGATCAGCCTATGGCTGATAGTTGCTTCAGTTTTTGAGTTTTTCAATTTGTGAAAATTTTAAACAAAAATTATCCTGAAGCATTAAATTTAAATTTTCAAAAAACCGTTGGATTTTTTTTATAAAAAACCTGTAGATGTCTCATAAAAGGTCATTTTCCAAACTATCCGGAGACACATTCGAATGAGATGGAAAATACAAAGTCAACAGAAGTGTAAGGATGATGAGAATAAGTTCCATGGGAGTTTAGCGATAGGAAATTGAACAATTACCGTTATTATGTGAAGGGCACCCGACAATCAAAAGCATAATCCAACATTTTAAGACACACTTGATGATACTCGATGTAATTTGACTGCACAAGAGGTCAGTAAGCATCCGCATAATTTAATTCCGTTACGACAGTAATCATTGGACTTATTCACTGCTATTAACAACTATATTATACTCATTTATTGCTTTTTTCTCTCTCTATTATTTATATATCATTTAACATTTGATCCTTCTTCACTCAGTCATACAAACTGTATCTATATTTATGCTGTTTATATTTATACTTATTTATATATGGATAATGATGATGATTTCATATTATATCATGTGCACATTCTTATGGGACATTAAATTTCATAACATCTATCGTTGAGACTTCCTTTCTTGCTTTTGATGATGCTATACACTACATCCAACTATGACTATATGCCCATAAATCTCCTATCTCTCTTTTATTTTGTTACTTATACAATATACACATTTTATTTATTTTATTATTCTTTCAGTTCATTCAATTTTCATTCACATCTTTATGTAAATTCATTTGTTTCTGGTTCTATTTCTGCTGCTACTGCTGCTTGTTATTACTTGTTTTATTTTATCATTTCGTCTGTGCAACAAAATTTATTTTATACTCATCACAACATACATCATTTGCGTTTACGCTTAAAAAAAATTAATCCAATTTGGGAATTTGTTGAATCAAAATGAGAAAAATGTGCGAGTGATGAGAATTTATGTGAAGCAGTGAATGGGAATGGATGGAAATAAAAATTATGTAACAGATGTAAATTTTCTGCTACTATCATTATTGCTGTTTGGTACAGTAGCCTCTCTTTTGAGGGTTTCTTTCTCTAGCTTCCTTTGTGGCTGTTTTAATTGCTAAAGTTCTTATGAATTATATTTTTTTTTTTGAGGCACACAAAACATTTTTTTTCTTCTTAATGCTTATTGAGGTTGTTAACTCATAATTGTGAGAGTTGAAGGAGTTTTTGTGTGTGTTGGCAATTCAGCCATATCCTGTGTGTGTTATTGTTTTAGACACAATGAATGAATTAGTTGTAAACTTTCAAATTTGTATGAAAAGCCTTATAAACTTTTATGAATTTTATGATTTAAGGTTTTGTTCTGGATTCACACAATTTGTTTTAGAAAATCATGATCAAATGTTTTTTAAGGTCTAGTAATTAATTTATTTTTAACCGCCCTATCCCCTTCAAATTTTTACAATTCCATCAATCACCTTAAAATACATTTTTTATTCAATTTTTCTGCAAATCTCGGAACTTCTAAAACTTCATTCAAGTCTCCCTAGCCACCAAAAAATTCATCCCAAAATTAATTTAAAAACTTTTATAATAAATTTCAAAACAAATTTTTTTATTAATTTTTCAAAGATCCAGCAAAAGATCATTAATTCCTAACATTTGACAGTTTTCCGGTCTAAATCTTATCACTAGGAATTTTCACATGCCTAAAAATAGAAAAAATTTCCGAATCTGAATCCCCACCATCCATGATTAATCAGAAACTGTCTAAAAACTAATCTCTAAAATTCCAGCAGTCTGCTACACTATAATTTATGGTTTCGGATTAATCCATCAGATAGAAAGGTCACTGTACGTATGCAAATCATTGTCCGAAAAAAATCCCTGTGCTTCACATATATTCACATCACTAATGATTCACTGATAATGTATGCAATTCATGTATATGATTTATCTTTTTTCGCCACTTCAAATCTTCCCGACATACATGAGAGAATATCGTGGGAAAAAAGGAGCGCAAATCGTTTGAGGATATAAAATAGGGAACCTTTCACTTTGATGTAATTTATCTTTTTTTCTTTTCCCTTTCACATATGCAAGAAGGCTCCTTTTACTATGTCTTATAATTTTTTTTGTTCTTATTTTTATAGCTAAACTGTGCTCAACACTCCTAATGAATCACGTCTATTATATTGAAAGATGCACGTTGAACTAACAATGTGTGTCTGATGGAAGATAATATAAACAGGCAACAAAAACAGTTGAATGAGGACTGGAAGGACTTTTATTTTCGAAACTGGAATTTTCGAATTGGAAAACTCTCAGTGAAGCACAGCATGCTTTATATTTATGACACTGTTGTTGTTCTTGTAGATTTTCATTTTCTTAATACGCTCTCTGAATTATAAAAAAAAAGATATTTCTCGACCGAGCTTTTTGGTTTTAGAAAATATTTTCTCATAATATATAAAATGACAAAACCGAGATATGAAGGAAGTACTTGAAAATAGATGCATTTTCATCATTAGTAATTTCCTCAAAATTGTATGTAGTCGGTTAGAGTGAGGAAAGTAGTCTGATGTTTTACAGAGTTTAAAGGAAGTGAAAAAATTACATAAATGACTCAACTTTTTAACCCTATCAATTAATCTGCTTGGTAAGTTAACAATTTATTTCTAAAGACATCTAATTTTTCTGCTTCATTCCGCTGTATCTCTTTTCAGTGTTGTCTCGTTTTCTCATCATGAATATACTCTGAAATTATCCTAATGCTGAATGCCGTGAAGATTTATACATTTGAAATGTAAAACGACACATAACGATTGATTAAGCCTTCCAATGTGTATTTTACTGGGAAGAATGAGAATCATTCTGCCACAATAGCGTCTATAGACAAGAATTTATTCGTGATATATTTATGGGTTGATAGTTGATGCGCATTTTTTGTGACATTAAAATTAAATTAGGGGAATATTTTATTAGTTTAGGTAGTTTCATGCTTGTTGGAGACGCTCTTTTGATTACTTTTGGTTTTTATAATTTAAGATATCCATCTAATCAAAAATTGATTTGTTTACATTCTCACTTGAAGATTTTGATTCTGTATTTTGAGATAATTACAAGTTTAATTGTGAATTGGACATTTAGGCAGCATTGAACAAGTGTGAGCAAAGCGCTTAGCATCAGAATTGCTTTAATAAGCTGTCTATTTGATATGAAATAACAATAATCTACGTTTTTTTCAAAAGAACTTAAAAGTGCGGGAAACTTCAAATAAAAAATGTCAAGTTTTAAATTTCAACTTAATTAGAGAATTTTTTTAAAGTCACAAATCTATGTAAAGTAATCCAGATGGTTATTAAGCCAAAAAAGCTTCTAAAGTCAACATTATTTTTCAGATAAATTGTTAAATGGAAATTTTCTGCTGAGAATAAAGAATGAAAGTAAAAATACAATAAGAAGGAACGTGATATTTTCACGAGCTCTCTTTTTAGTCTCTATACATATTTTTCATTCCTCGAACAATAAATTACTTCACATTTTTTCGGTTGATAAAACGCGCGCTTTTTCTATCTTCTCTTTTGCTTCTGTTCTTTTTGTCTCATTCAATAATATACATGGATGTATGTTAATTCTATATGTGAATATATAGTAACAATTGTATCCTGATAAGGGGAAAATATAATAAAGAAAATATCTTGGGGACATCTGGAACATTATTTTCATATTTCATTCTATTCTGCAAAGGTTTTAACTTCCAAGAAAGTAGACAAAAAAAGCTGAAGAAGATGTAAAATCTTGCTGATTTGAAAAAAAGACATTTTTCATACGTTTACTTATTGTCTCCATCCTATTCATGTGATAGTCGAGTGAGGAAAAAATGTGACAATCCAATGAAGTGCAGCGAGACTTGTTTTAATTGAAAACAGATTTATCTTCTGATTATTTCTTTCTGTGTGTCTCGTTTTTTTTTTTGGAAATAAATCTTCTTTATTATCGAGTTCATTTCATTGCATTCATTTTGGCATTAAATTCGAATTTCACCACTTGTGATTACTGCCAATTAACTTTATCGTGAACAAAGCACTTGAAGAAATGCTTGAAATTTTTGGATTTTGTGTATTAAGACATTAAAAGTTTTAGTTTAAAACAAATTTTGTTCGTAATGTTCAAATGGTTTATTTAATTTTGAATTTTATTTAATTTTTTTGTATGGACTAGCTGCAAGCCTCTTAACTTTGTAATTGGTTGAGGTTCAATCAAAGTCTACATTAAGACCTAATTTATGCTGTCAAAAAAAAACTCAGCAGGACATTCAATAAAAAATATCGATAAGAATTTGCTGCAAAATAATTCCAAAGAAGATTTAAATTTAAAACTTCAGCACAATAAAATTTTACAAAAGAAAGCAACTGAAAACTTTTCTCAGCAGGTAAGTCTTAGACTCGTATTGATTTTTTGCAGTGTCGCACGAATTTACCATCTCCATTAGCATTCTTAATTAATTCGCTTTAAAAGAATCTAAAATAAATTTAAGGGATGAAACTTGTGAAACAAAGAGGGAGTGACAATTAAGAATAAAAGAGTGGGAACGAGAAAGAAAGTTTGTGAGAGGATTAAAGTCGAATTACAAAAGCCAAAAAGAAACTTTTCATTATGAACAGATGATAATTATGTGATAATGAATAAATGAAAGTGAAAAATCTCTCAATGGTGCTTTAATACTAAAAAGCTTTATATAAGAAGTCATCTCAGCTCATTTCAGCCATTTGACATTATTATCTTTAATGATAGAATCTCCTTGACATCTCAAAAGAGCTTTTCTCCTTTTTCATCCGATTTTATTGCGCATAATGTCCTTGAAGGTAGGTTAAATACAATTATGGAGCTCATGAAGAATTAAGATTCTATTATCTTAGACATTCAGTCTACTACATATTAAACATAAAGAAACAGAATAATAATACATGGAAAGTAGCCAAACATCAACCTGCTGTTGTTATTAAATGACAAGCTTTTAATCTTCATTATTTATTGTTTTTTGCCTGTCAAATGCGTTCATTCTTTATAGATTAATCGGGCGGGGAACTTTTCTCGGATTATAATAGTCGATACTCGTGTCCAATATGAAAAATAATAACATGGAAAGAAAATTTGATACACTTTATTTGAAGTTATTTTGATGCCCATACATCCATCATTATTGATTTTACAACTGCTAATCACTTCCATATCACACCCAGAATATGAACAAAATTAGAATAATTTGGCTCAAACCTAAGACTCTTGGTACATAATGCTTATACAGGAAAATTAAAGATAGAGTAAGTTTATGACAGACTATTCGGGAATTCCCTTGAAAAACTTAATTACATCCAGTTTTAATTTTCTGATAAGAATGAAATTATCTTTAATCCAAAACGTGCAAAAAGCCACAAAATTATGATCATCATCATCATCATGTTATTTATAAAGCATTACGGCAGATAACTCCAAGTTAGAAAATGCATTAATCGGAAAGGAAGTACTCGAACCAATTTTTACCGAATTATTTATCAGCACACAAAAGATTGAAGCCACTTGAATGGATTAAATTCAAGTCATTCATAAGAAAATAATTGGCCTCAAGTGTAAGTTGAAGGAAAGAATACAAACACACATTTCGTCATAAAATTTTATTGTCATTATTCCAATATCTGTACAGTCTTTTTCTGTGCGAAAAACGAAACAACAAGAGTCGTCATTGCCTTATCGTACTCCCTGTACAGAGTATAAAATGAATGTAGACTGAAGCTAGAGAATTTAGTCGAGAAAGAGCTTTCAAGGCAATTTAATTACATTTGTTTTATAAAACTAGGAACGAGATTAAATAAAGATTAATTTTTTTGTGTGTGCATATCCTATCTTTCAAAATGAAACTGTTAGTAATTACTTTTGCCATCCTTTTTGCATGCTGTGAGGTAAGTGTTGGAACTTGAAATGTCTCTAATGTCATTTTAACAATTTAATTTTCTCAAAATAGGGTGCTCAACCAAAGGCTTTCATTTTAAGTCCTGACTTTTTAATGGATACTGCTAAGGCTCATCAAGTAGCAGCTCAAAAATTACAAGATGATTTTGATGCAGCCTATCTTGCTGCTAATGGATTAATCAGTTCAATTTTGGGTGGAACTATGGTCAACAAACTTAATGTTTATAAAAATCATACTGACGATCTTTTGGAACTTTATAATCCAGTTTTTGAGTCACTAGATGTTTTACCTATTGATGACTGTCGCAATAATGTTGTCGCTATGTTACAAGTTATATTAGCTACTTCTGGTAATCGTGGTGGAGTTTGCTCTAAGAACTATCATGCTGACACAAGTAAAACAGCAAAAGGAGTTACTGATAACATTAATGGACTGAATAAATATTATATTGAACTTTCGACTTTCGTTTACCATAGTTTCGCTGGATTTAACGCACTTATTGAAAGTGAAACTATTGAACAGGCCATAAACTCAACATACTTGGACCTTAAAGACAAGTTACAATTTGATGCAGTTGATGCTGATGCATTCAGAGCAGCACTTGCAGCAATTGACTCAAATTTCAAAGGTTGCTTAAATACTGCAAAAACTTATGCTGCCACGATGATCGAATCAGCAATAGAACAAGTTAACATTTGTAAGGAATTGCATGACATTTCCCGAGCATCTCGTGGTGTCAGAAACGTTCAATTCAGAAACTTGATGCCTGAATTTGAAGCACTTGTTAATAGCTTCGAAGAATACAAGTGGTAATCCAATTCATGTACCTTTATTAAAAAATATTGAAATAAAAACTTTTTCTGCATATTTATAATTAAAATTATTTCTCAATTCATTGATCAAACGAAAGCTATTTATGTCATGCATAAGGATAAATGTTCTCTTCCAGAAAATAAATCCAATAAATCTTTGATATTCAAAAGAGTCAAAAGAAGGCAGTAAGAAGACCTTACCAACTTATGGATCTATAAATCAACTTTCAATTATTAAAATGGAAAGCATTTCATTCTCAAAGAATGAAGAACAAAGCATTCATGCAAACATATTTTTCCATTTTGATGGAGAAACGGATGAAAGGGAAGGCATCACGATAATTGGATTGAGAATTTTTTTATTCACATTTCATTAAGCATTTCATTTCATGGCTACAAGTTTATAATTTATTGCAATTCATTCATATTAAATTTAATAAATTTATTTTACTACAATTTTTTGGTTTTGCTCAACAAAAATGCTGGACATGCCAATAAAAAAAATAATATTTTGTTTGACATTTATTATGAAAAACATTTCTTACGTAAATGCAGGAGCCACAATAAATTGGCTTTGATGCAAATGCGGTTTTTTTATAATATTTCAGCTAATTATTTTGCATGCAATTATTTTCATTTATGTAATGGCTGTGTATGCATGTACATATTTGAAAAATAAATTATGAACGTACCCACTGAAATTCTCATGCATGCATTCCAATTCTCAATGGGAAATAACAATATTATTGTTGAATTTTATGCAAATAAGCAGTTGTTCATTAATGATGTCCAAAAATATCAGAACTGCCTTCCTAGACACATTTATATCACCTTTTGGATGTGATATGCAGTTAAGGTTGCAAAAAAGAACGACATTTGCAAATAGTCCCTAATATTGCTTATATAAAGTACTTGTGTGTCGTCAGTAAACAGATTTAGGCAATGACAGTGTCTGATGACAAAAATACTTATTCTTATTCTATATAATTTTGCGTAAGTAACGCATTACATACACAAAAGTTACAAAAGGAACCAAAAAATAAAATTCTCATTAATACGTGTAGCCTAATTGGACAGATATTTTGATAAGGTTCAATAGACTTTATTACTTTTCAATAACATTCGTAAAATTCATTCGAATTATGGTGGCAATCAAAACACTCTTGTTCTTCATACACACCCATGTTGTAAATTATTTTTTGAAAATACTTGAATATGTGCTTCCCCTTCAATGCCAAAAGATTTCCGAATCCCCTATATCCCCGAATTAACGAATAAAACAGTTATTTTAAGAAATTCAATTAATTTTATTGGCCACTTTCTTAAGATTAGCAGCACAGGCGTTGTGATAAATTTTATAATCCATTGAATATGCCCTTGATTATCAAACATGGAAAACTGAGTCAATTAATTTATTACATCAATCAGTTGTCAATAAAGTACACTGTCTTATCTACTTGGGTTTTTGCGGAATAAAATGTTGTTTATTTGCTCATTTTCGTATTTCATCATTAAATTTAATTTTATGTTATTAACTATTGGAATCAAGGCCATTCTGTTTCAAAATTATGAATGATTAATTCCATTGTAAAAGTTTATAGTGCCTTATTTTCGCAAGAATGACACACGCTTTGATTTTTGAAGACATTTGAAGTTTGTTTCTTCTTGAAACCCAAACATGAATCTTAAGCCTTACTCAGATCTCCCTTACAATTAGACGAGCTTCCGATTCTCGTCTAAAAATAGCCATAAAGATAATGTTGTTAATCGATTTCAGATTTTTTGGTTACTTTTGATGTATCCACTCCACATATCAATTCTATTTGCATTAAGACTGTTGTTGATGAATTGATGCTGTTTGTCTCTGTCCTAAATAAGTCACACAAATGTGTTGTTTATCTCAAAAACAACCACAATGGTTAACTAATTAGGATGATTGATTTATTTGATTACAAATCGAAGTGTTTATCTAGCAGAGGTTTTGAGACAGCAGCTGAGCTGCTTTGAAGATATAAACTGAAAAACAAAGCAACTTAAAGCATTAAGGATGTAAATTTATTAAAGTTTTCTTATTTGGAATCCTTTAAAGAAACATAAAATGAATTTTAATTAATTATAAAAAATGCATAAATTTTCCATTATTACCGTCTCTAAATAATGTAAAACCTGCCTCATTAAAACAGACGTGCAAAAACAAGTGCTATAAAACTTTGTCCTACAATTCTCGAACTCTATTGACGACACGGGATGTTATTCAGAAAGTTAAACGACATTTCCCGTAAATTAAAATAATGAAACAATTTATCATGAAAACCTCAATAAATTTCTGATTCCTATAACAAAGGCACAAAATGACCTCAATGGATACATTTCGTAACTATCCGCAAACATTTTTCCATGAAATTGTATTGCAAAATATTTTTGTTGATAACGTCATGAGTAGTGAAAAGGAAGTAATAAAATAAATTAATTACAGATTTTTCACATTAAATAATTTTGATTTTTCCATGTCAGTTCCATGTCTTTGTATTAGCGAATGATAAAGTTTATCATCCTGTTTATTATTCTCTTCGTGTTTTAATCGATATTTTAGCACGTACAATTATTGTTTTGATAAGTTATCGTGTATATAAAAAGAGCCTTTCATTCTATTTTAAATCAATAGTCGAAAACTTTCTGTTGAAGAAACAAGAGAGGAACTTTCCGTACGTACGTGTAAAATAAACTCAATTAAAAGTTTTTTTTTCGGTTTGAGAGAAAAGAATAATTTAGTGAAAATGAAATTAAGTTTCGGAATCTTGTGTCTTATCGCAGCTGCATCCGCTGTGGATATTAATATCATCTATCCCAGTGAACTATTTTACGATGCATTAAAGTATCAAAATTTTACAAATGTCATGCAAACTGATATGTTTCAATTGATCACGAAATTACGTACTGAATTATCCACAACTTTGAAAAAGACAGCAAATTCAAGTTTATCATTCATTGAGGATGATGTTAGAAAAGTCTTTTCTGTCGATGCACCATACCGTGAAATATTATTTGACAACAATACGCAATCCACAACTTGTATGAACAACATGAGAAGTCGTTTGAACTACTTCACTGAGTTTACTGGATTCAGAGCTGGAATTTGTCTTCATACTTACGATAGAGCTGTCAATAGAGTCGTTAACGAAACTTTCAACGAAATTGCAACTTATGATGATGAAATTTCTGAATTTGAATTGAGCGTTATTAAGGCATTTGCTGGAAAGAACGTTTGGACACAACCTGATGACATTAGAAAACAATTTGTAGAGAGCTTCAACAACTTCACAATAATTTATAATGATTTTAAGGCAAAAATTGACGGCTTTTCAACAAACATTGAAACAAAAGTTCAGGAATTCGCAGATGTCTTAAATGCTTGCTACAAAACAAGTCAGGATGAATTTATTGAGCAGTTAGTGGTTTTGGATGCTGATATCAAAACTTGTATTACCTTCGATAATTTGAATTAATTTAATATCTATAACACTTTTATATTATTTTGTACTTTTGACTTTATTTGAGGAAAATGTTTTAATAAAAAAATATTTTTGAAGCAGGAAATTTTTTGGCATTTTAAAAATCATTTATTAAGCTATTTCTTGTTCTAAAATAAATTAAATGGTTCAATTAATAATTGTTGGAGTTCAACTTTGATGTGCAAATTTCAGGTTGTTTTCTCCTCAATTCAAAGACACCAACAACTTTGATACTAATTGGAAATGCACGAGATAAAATAATCATAGCTGATAAATTACTTCTCAAGTGCCTACTTGAACTAAGGAAGGAAGCATGCAACTGATTATTGATAGTTAAAATCGATAAGCTTGCACATTATTAATAGATGTTAGGGATTAGCAGATAAGTAGATGACAATGACGTTTTATTGTATTTAGAAAGGAATGAAGGATTAATTTTAATTGTTATTGTCATACGCTTCCATAAATTCAAGCATCAAAGTGGATCTTTGTCAACTCTCACTCTCTTCATTTCTCCAAGAATTAAAGAAAGTATTGAATTTCTTAAAAACATTTTTTAAGAACCACCTTCTAATGGAATTTTAGACTTAAATTTTGTTTCGCAAAAGAATGTCAACAAAATTTAAAAACAAATTTTGAAGAAGCTCCAAAAAAATTTAAAACCACAAAAAAATGTTGTCAAGAGTCTTTGGATGGATAAATAGTAACCACAATCAAATTATTTTAAGGAGATGCAACCTAGCTACCAAAATTTCTAACATCAAAGATTTTTTTTTGAATATTATAAATATCAGGTTGTTAAAAATTAGGGAACCTCCTTTGAGCTGGCAAGCTTGAAATATTTTTTTTTATCATAGAATTCAATTTATTTAAAACACATAATCAAGTAGAAAGCGTAAAAAATTTCCGCATAATTTTCTTATTCAGCATAAGTCAAGTGTAATCAAGGAAAGAAGGAAATTCTAACTGTCGCAAAAACGAGAAAGCTACGTCTGATGATTCATTTAAGCATTCATCTCACATGTGAGATTCATTAAGAGATATTTCCGTTTTTAGAAGAAGTTAATCGTAGACAAGTAATCGTGAATGTAATCCTAAATCTACGCTATATTAATTCATCAGAGAATCAGGTAAGAAACTAATTTTTGGCAGTGATTGACACTGAACGGAAAAGAAGTATAAATGGAAACGGTAAGAAGAAAGTTTCTTTTTTTTTCCCCATCACTGCTGTTTATAGACGAATGATGTTATTTACTCGATTCGTAATTGGAATATTCCCATTGCCGGTATCAGCACCACTTCAAAGATAATTTGTGACGAAAACATTCAATTTAGATTAAACGAATGTCGACCTCTCGAATTCAAATAATCTTTTAATTGACTCTTCCGAACGGAAATGACTTATGGATGTAAAAATGGGTTTAAAATAATGACTGGAATTGAAAAGCGGTTTTACATGTTCTTAGATGATTGAATAATTAGCAGATTATGGTCAACATCTACAACAACCTATTTGAGTGGGATTCGAACCTGAGCTTCTATGATGTCCTGTCGTAATTTCATAAAACTAAGTTATTTGAGGATACTTGGAATCTTGTTAAAATGTTAACTCAAACTTCAAACATATTAATCGGCTCAAATCAGTATCTCTGTCATTATTATTGATATGACTTTACTTAAAAAGCTTCAACAAATGAGCAGTAAAATTTACCAAGTCATTGAATTATTAAGTGTCATCATTAATAATTCATATCTTTATCTTCAAAATGATGTTTAAATTGAGAAGTTTTAAAAATTATTTGTTGATTCCGAATGTCATGGCCAATTATTTCTACCCTTAAAAATATCGCATTGCATTCCTTGAACTTCCATCCAACATGAATCAACAAATGTATAAAAATATCACAAAGTTAAGAATAATTTACTGTTATATATTGTACAATAAAATCATATTTCCACTCTCCCTTCAACAAAAAAATATAAATAAAGTTTTTCAAGGCAGAGTGATAACAAAAGATGCCAAAATACATACACAATGGAAAAGAAATTGAAAGTAAAACTTTGACAAATAAATGTTAATGGCGCATTTTTTGCCTCTCCCAAAACGATTATTATAGTAATCCAATGATTATGACAGCAAATAATGATATCTAATATTCTCAAACTATTTTCATTCGTCAGCCTATATTCTTTTTTTTTGTGATGATGTAAGATCAAAAGGGGGTGACTTTGAGGAGTTCTTGTAAGCAGGGTTGGTGATTAAGTATCTCGAAATTTTGAACAACACTAACCCTAGGCTCAGCAAACCACTTTTAGTTGCAATAGGCATTAAATTCAACAGTGACTAAGTTTGCAGACAATCTCTAGAAACCAACCCTGTTTGCTAGTAAAATTAATTTTTTTTTTCTTAATCAACTTGCACCCTAAAAAGTAACTCATGCCACAAAAACGTCTGCTCCATTTAATCTAGCTTAGAATTTGCCTTAAATCAGTTCCTTTGTTTTCTTTTCGTAGGGATTATTGAATGATAAAGTTGATAGGAAATCGGAAATGTATATTGAGTCTCCAAACAGAAATGCATATGTATGCTTTTAATTCTGAAAGGTAATGTGTTGAATGAAGACAAATGGACTGAAAAATTGAACACTCTCCAATATTGAAAATTTGTCGTTTAACTACACATGAAAAGACATTCTTAATGGGAAAAAGTTTCATGTAGATTTTAGACTAAAGCTCTTCGATAATTGCGCAATACTAAAGAGTTCATAAATTTTTCGAAATAAAATCTGTAGACGAACATTTTGAGAATATTTTATGAAAACATTTGGAAAAGTTCCACGAAAGTTCAAGACTCAATGGCAAAAAACCGCAAAACATATTTTAATTTAAGCTAAAAAGCTAATTGACTGAAATGACAGTCAAGTGAAGCGGCATCAATGAATTTTTTAACGCTGCAATTCCTAATTTGAAACTTCAACAGACAATGCCAGTGGCTGTTGAAACAAAAGCATTTACTACGTTCATGTTTTATATCCTCTTTATGGCATCTGTGAATACGGATGTTTTACATGAATTTTTCGTTATGAAGGTTGAGTGTTTAGAAGCAAGATACTTCCAATATTAAGTATTGTTTGCATAGAGATGAATAATTCTATGTCCATTTGAGATTCAATGTGTTATTCAATGATATTGACAGCATTTTACAATGTAAGCGTCCATCTACAATGCATCTTGTATCTGACAAACAGAAGTTCGTTTAAGCAAATAAATCAGAAATTCGAATCATTCATATTTCTCATCATACACAATGTTTAACTATGATAATATGTAGTTAGTAGATCTACTATGTATCTTGCTTCTATTTATTTTAAGAATCCCCATCTACCTAGCAACCAGAAAAATACTACAGATTAGACTGCAAAATTTAAGGCTGTTTAAATAAATTACATGAAATTAATCTTAATACCGAAGAAGACAAAACGAATCAAATAAGTCATGAGACGCAGGAAACAACCTTATAAGAAAAAAATAATAATGTTGAGCAAAGTTTGCATTTTTTTCATATCTTTAACAAGACATCAAATAAAATTTTTTTTATCATGTTTGAAATTTCAAAACAGCCCAAGCGAGTTTATATATGTATTGTATTGCATTATACAATATTTTCAAATTCTACCTCACATCTTAACAAATAATTCTTACTCACTCAAATATTTTGAATTCAAGAAGGGTAGGAATAACAAGAAGAAACAAGACAAGGCAGCATGAAGAAGAAAAACAATTTTTTATACAACATATAATGTAGTAGAAATATTATTTTAAACGTTCAATTTTTTCATGCTGAGTCGGTAAGCTTTTTTTGTGCGTCTCATCTGATTCATCATGTGATAAAAGGCAAACTGAATGTTTGAGGCATTAAAATCCTTTATAATACAACAAAAATGTTCATAACCTTCCAGTGGAAATAACTTTCGAAATTGGAAAGGCAGGAACTGTGTGTTGGAAATACAAACAGATATCATATGAAACTGTTATCAAATGAAAAAGTTTTTAATTGCTCATTTATTGTAGTACTAATTTAAATAAAAACTGTTCCTATGTGCTTAATTTTTTTTCAACTTTCAAAATGTGAAAATAGTTTTGCCTTTCCAAAAAATAGATTTTTTTCTCTTCACAGGCTTTTCTGTTGCTCAGGCTGTCGATAATGACTTGAGCATAAAAAATAACAACAACATTGAGGGAAAAAGAATGTTGGGATATTATTTATTGGTGTGGAAATGTATACATTACTCGTATATGTCAAGTTTTTGATAATGAAAGGCAAAATATTTTTTTCTCTCTTTAGGAACCGCTTAAGAACTAATCTGGGGATCAAGAGTAAAAATAAATAAATTTTAGCCTCTCCATCATGTGTATGTGAGATATTTGCCAATGTTTGGCATATAGAATCGATATTATGTGAAATTATTAATGCTCTTACATCTGTTGATTCTATTTGCGCTGTGAATTAGTTCTAATAATTAAATTAAAGTATGATTTCTGATGTTTATTTCTTGTTTGACTGAAATTTTGTTATTTTAAGGGGCATGCAACTATTTTTTGGAATCGAATAAAAAATTCAAATAATAAATGACTGTTGGAAATGAAATCAACGGTTTGAACAGCAAGAAGGATGTAATTTCCACACACTGTTTCCTGAATTAGCAAAAACATACACAACGTATGAATGCGAAAGTAAAGAATAAAAAGATAAAGAAAGAATGGAGAAACGCAAACAATTTAATTTGACATGATAAGAAATTTGCGTAAGCCTTTTTCTACGTGAATATTCTGTAGACTTCCATAATTTTTGTGTTTCTAAAAGAGATAAGGACGTCTTAATTAAAAGCGTCTAACTCATAAGTATGTTAACCTAATTGTGGGGATAAAAAATCATTACGCTAAGTTGTTTTTAAGAGCTTTCTTTCTTATTTTTATTTTATTTTACCATTTCTTCTTCCTGTGCTAATTCCTTTCATGAATGAAATTTGTTTTCTCCCTTTTCTCAGCTTTCATGTACCCAAAAAGAAAGTTGACTTCCTT